AATACATGCTCTGTGATTCCATGTATGTGTATTTCTAGAAAAGGTAAAGCTTTTTTAGTGTCACAGAGCAGATCAGAGATTGCCTGGGGCTGGGTGAACGGAGGGGAAGGACTGATTGCAAAGGGGCACAAGAAAACTTTTCATGGTTTTTTTTTTTTTTAACTTTTCATGGTTTAAGAGAACATTTTAAACCTTAAGCTGGGGAGACTCTGTTTCTCAGAAGAAAACAAGGAAGTGCTGAAAATAAATTTGTTTATGAGGGATAGTAAAAAGAGTAAAACAGGGATCATAGATGCCCAAAGAACGAAGGTGTAGAAGAATAATGAATCCCAAAGGTGAAAATAAAGGAAACTTGAAAGAAACTTATCAAAGCTTCAAACTCCAGAAAGCTAATTGGAGCATTGTAGCACCGGGGATGTGAATCTCACCTACTTGACATCAAATTTGTAATATGCAGATCCCCCCTACTTGGTTTGTGATCTTTACACAGATGTGTGTCCTGCTCTTCTTTGGGTCCCCAAATAAACCTCAGCCCTGTAAACGCAGAATGAAAGAGCATGGACCCTGCAGGTGTGTAAATTCTACAGGAAAGTCGCCAGCAAAATTATCTTCATTTCACTAATTGGTAAGACATGAAGTTGAAATTACTTCTAATAGCAGAAAGCAAACAAAGAACAATTTGTTTGTTTTTCTTGGAATTCTTTCATGACAAAATACACTGTGATATTTTCTACTAATGCCCTGCTAGGAGCCCTCTCTATTCTTCCAAACAGTATGAAGTGCTGTCACAGCAAATGGCATGCCCATATGGAAAGAAGATCTTTTAGCCCAGTGTATATCCCCAAGTCCCCCCACCCTGGAAGGAGACAGTACTTTCCTGGTTGTAGGGAGAAAAACTGGAGCAAAAACAATGAAAGACAATAGGATTGGAGATAGGAGTTCAGTCTAAAAGAAAACGTAAAAACAGAGATCCAAAGTCAGTTGAGAGTAGGGGGGAGGGTGTCAATTCCAGGGGGCCTGGAGGTAGGAGAGAAGTAAAATATGCTTACTGGAACTCAGAACTGGGGAAAAAAAACTAAAGTAAATAGGAAGCAAGCTGGAATCAAACTGCAAGTGGGAAGAATTACCGGGAGATGCTAAAACCACTGAGTAAAAGATCGTTGTGGAATAGGATATTCACGTAGTGCAAGAGGTCCTACAACACATTTCTGTTTTTAAAAGATTTATTTCAGAGGTAGGGTAGGGGTGTCGTGGGGGATAGCAAGGGAAAAAATGAAACAAGATGGGATTGGGAGACAAACTATAAGAGACTCTTAATCTCACGAAACAAAGTGAGGGTTGCTGGGGTGCGTAGGGATAGGGTGGCTGGGTGATGGACATTGGGGAGAGGGTATGTGCTATGGTGAGTGCTGTGAAGTGTAGAAGCTTGATGATTCACAGAACCGTACCCTGCGGCAAATAATACATTATATGTTAATAAAAATATATGTAAATCAGAATGCTAATTTACTAATTTATGACAATAAATGAAACCAAAGAGCAGGAAAAAAAGAGATTTATTTATTTATTTATTTGAGAGAGAGAACTTGCTCAAGCGGCAGGGTCAGAGGGGGAGGGAGAGAGAATCTCAAGCAGCCTCCATGCTGAGCATGGAGCCCAATGGGGGGCTTGATCCCATGACCCTGAGATCACCATCTGATCTGAAACCAAGAAGCCCAGCTGACTGCACCCCCCAGGCACCGCCCCCCCTCCCCCGTCCCAGGGCAGATTTCTTATTCATTGTAAAGGGAAAATGCACTTTTTCCCTGGAGTGATCTAGCTGTGGTGACACTTTGCAAGTGGTTGAGCACAGACAGATAGTGCATATACCAGTGTGATGCGGTGTCAAGTGCCCACATTAACCGAAAGCCCAAGTTAATTAACCAAGTTAATTAGCTCAAGTGATAAACCGAAAGCCCAAGTCCTACAGAAAAAGTACAAAGGATAAAGGGGGACGTGAAATGACACCATAAGAAACTCTTAAGAGGGTTTGCTGGGACCCTACCCCTTATTAGTAAGAGTGATTATAAATACAGGTTCTAGATAGAAGGAAGGGGGCATTTTATCTCCTAATATTGCAGGCCATAGATAAGGTTAATGGACAAGTTAGAATTTGGACGATTAAAGAAGAAATCTCAGACCCTTAGACCCAACGCTTAACAGAAAAAAACTGGAGGTTAAGAACAGGGTCTCACTGTATTATGGAATATAAGTAAGAGGGGGGAAGGAAAAGGAAAAAGATAAGAGGAACTAGTGAACCCAAAGAATCTGTCATCATGGCAGAGGGAGCCCCTTAGTGGGGCATCATCCGGAACCCTAGTATTCTTACCTGATGTGTGGATGTGGGGAGACCCTGGGTGCCTGAATCAAATTTGAAAAGACGTACGGAAGGTTGACCAGGGGCTTTGGTCCCAGATATCAACCCCCTAAGCACAGACATGGCCTAACAATAACATAGCAAAGAGTTTCCAGTCTTTGCTTTGTCATCGGATCAGCAGTGAGATAGAGGCATTTGAGAAAGAACTGACAAGACTTCAGGCTGTATTAATTGTTTTTAGTGGTTAATTTATATGACAACCATTTTTTTTTTTTTTTTTAAAGCCAAGACTGGGTGCTCCTGGGTGGCTCAGTGGGTTAAAGCCTCTGCCTTCAGCTCAGGTCATGATCCCATGGTCTTGGGATCGAGCCCCGCATCAGGCTCTCTGCTCGGCGGGGAGCCTGCTTCCCCCTCTTTCTCTCTGCCTGCCTCTCTGCCTACTTGTGATCTCTGTCAAATAGATAAATAAAATCTTAAAAAAAAAATAAAATAAAAGCCAAGACTGGCATCCTCCAAGGATGGCTAAGATGAGAGAGATTTGAAACCATAGGATATGGAAAGGAGTTAGAGTAACCCAAAACATTTCATCCTCAGCAGAGAATGTTTGGATAGAATTCAATGTCTGCCTTCAAAGATCTACGTAAGGTTATCTCTTGGAGGAAGGATGTGACTTACTCCATGTCAACTGCAGAGGGCAGAGCTGGGACCAAAGGTTACAAGGAGGTGGATTTGTCTAATTGCTTTGCAAAGGGAGACACAGAGTTCCCTATTTACTCTCCGAACAATTATGACAGCTAACATTTACCAAATGCTCATGATGTCTGCACCATAGTTAAAATCTTTATATGCCTTACCTAAAAAGCTGTGGATCAAATTCTTAGTTATTACAAGTGCCTCACAGCATCATTTAGTAAAGGCTCCATTTACTGACTGTCTATTAAATTACTTCATTTTGATAGTTACCCTGTTTACTGTTATCTTTTTACAGATGAGGGAATACAAAAGGTAAATTAGTTTTTTGGAATCATCCTGTTTTAAGTTACTGGCTTATAATGGTCTGGACCCGTCTTCCTGCTAGTAATACTGCCTCCAGAGGTTATGCATGTAATACGAGGTCAGATCAGGGCTGTTCGTTAGAAATATAAGCCACTAATGTGACCATATATGTAATCTTACTTTATCCATTAGCCACATTAAAAATGTAAAAAACCTGGTTGGCTCAGTTGGTGGAGCATGGAACTCTTGATCTCCTGGTTGTGAGTTTGAGCCCCATGCTGGGTGTGGAGCTTACTTAAAGAAATAAAATCTTAAAAATTAAAAAAAAATGTAGAAAGAAACTAGTGAAAATATTTTAAATTATATATATTTACATTTTAACCCAATACAATAACTCAACCGACTCATCACATTTATTATCTATTATCATTTGTTGAAATGATGTAATCAACATAAAAATTATTAACAAGCTGTTTTTACATTCTGTTTTTCACACTGAGTCCTGTGTCCATTTTACACTTGGACAACATCTCAGGACTAGGCACATTTAAAGTGTTCAATAGTTGCTTGTGGCTCTTGGCTGCTAATGAACAGCCAGCACAGGGTTAAAATTTAAATCCCCTTGGGGGAAGGGGTGAGAATGCAATTTAAAGAGTTTTGCCTTCTACCCTAGATTCCAGCGCCTCCCTGGTCCAGATTTATCTCCTTTGCCAGTTTGAAGGGAATGCATTAGTAGCCGCCTTTGTCTTTCTCAGCAGAGCCAATGTAGATATTTCTGATTAGGGAGAGGACAGGTGTTTCTCCTGCAACCTTCCAACGACTGTTATTTCCCTCCTGGCAGCTAGGCTGGGAGTTAGTTTTTTATTTTTGCTTTGAAGATCACGGAAGTAGGTTGCATTAAATAGTGTACCCCAAATACCAAACGGGGAGTAGAAAGTCTTGCTTTATGCCAAGTTATGCCAAGTTAGGGAGCCCCTGGTTTAACTGGTTAGAAATAAATCATGTAAATGCATAGGTAACTGTAAGAGGGAACAAAGGTTCTGTTATTCTCGCCCCGCTGCTCAAGGGTAGAGGCAAAGCGTCAGAACAAACACAGCAGCTCTTTAAAGTAGCTTTAAAACAACCCACCGAAGTTTCCCCTCAAATTCCAAACCAGTGGCCAAAAATGAAAGCATATAAAAAGATGCCACGCGCTCTCGGCCTCCCGGAGGTGGCGCTATGACGGTGACGGAGTTAATTAGTGCCTGCAAAGCGCCGCGTGTGAGCTCATCCGAGAAGTCATGCTCCGCACACATATTATTTATAGCCGATCTGAGGCGTGCACGGTGTTTGACATTTTCCTTCTTTTTAAGTAGGGGGACTTCAAAAAGTCGCGGGCACCCTCCCTCACCCCCCGCAGGCAAAGTGCGGTGGGCAGGCTCCAGGGTGCGGGCGGGAGGTGAAAGCGCCAACCACGCGTGTCCCGGCGCAGGTGCTGGGGGGCGGCGGCGGCGGCCACTCCGCAGCGTCCGCTCGGGAGGAGAGTTCGCGGTAGATCTCGGGATGCCTTGCAGATGCAAAATGTGTCTCTGGCCAGCAGGAGGAAGGAAGAGGAAGTGAGAGCAGCGGCAGCCGGCGGCGCAGCAGCCGGCGGATCCCCAGTGTAAGTGCGTGTGCGCGGGCGAGGATGGGCACGGGATAGAGGCAGAGCCACCCACACCGCCGCGGCCCTGAGCTGGGGGACAGAGCCTCTGGCCCCCCTTCAATGGTCACGGGTCGCCAGAGCTCTGGTCGCGGGGAACCCTCGCCGCCACCGCCGCTGTCCTGCGACCCCGGGCAGGTTCGTAAAGTTTCCTGGGCTGGCGCCGCGCCCCGACTCGCTGACCTCAGCGGGGCCGGGGAGGGAGCTGGGGCTGGGGCACAGGAGGAGGCGCCCTGCTTTGGGGGGGGGACTCCGAGCGTCGCGGAGACACTTTTGTTTCCTCCCCGGGGGCGCCGCGGCTGCAGCGGGGGTGGCCGCGGCGCTCGGCGGGGCGAGGGCTGCGGGCGCTCCCGGGCGCTCGCAGTTGGGGAAGTCTGGACAGAGCCCGGCGGCTGGTGTGGGAGTGGGAGCGGGAGCGGAGGGAGCGGGCGCGGGGGATGCAGTGCAGGGCCCCGGCCCGGGAACCCGCGGGGAGGATTTGGCTGGGGCCGGCTGGTGTGGGCTACCGGAGGACAGTGCTGCTGGCGCCGGGGTACTGGGGACCGGAGAGCGTGGGATTTGGGGGTTGGAGACCCGAGAGGCTGCGTTGGAGAAGGGACTGGCTGCTCGGACTCTGGCTTTTCTCCGGCACTGGCAGATGGGAGGGAATTCCTCGGCCGGCGCGCTCTGGGGAGGGGACTGCGAGGGGCTAGAGGGATGGAGGGCCCGAGGGGGCGGTTGGGGCGGCTGGGACTCGCGAGGGAAGCAGTAAATGCCTGCCTCCTGGGGACAAGCCGAGGTCCCCCCCTGGGACCGGGAATGACGGCGGAGGAGGGGGGCTTCTGTGGGAGATCCCGGCATGGAAGGTGGGGGGGGGGGCACCGGGCGCGCCTTCTGAGTAGGGGACAGCGGAGCTCGGGGGGTCCTGGAATCCGAGCTGTGAGCAGCAGGGGAGATCGCAAGAGTAGCTTTGAGGAAGAGGAAATACAGAAGTCAGCCGGCCGGGGGGTGCGCGCGTGTGTTTGGGGTTGGGAAGTCCGTGTTGTGTCGCGGGCGCGCGCGAGGGCGGCGAGCGTGTGAGCGTGTGTGTGTGAGAGAGAGAGAGAGAGAGAGAGAGAGAGAGCGCGACCGACCGCGAGGGGCTCCAGGGCTGGGGACTTCCCGCCAAATGACCCTCTCCCGCTTGGGGGCCGTTTGAAGTTCGTTGGCAGCTCAGGGCAGAGGTTTTTGGCGGTCGGACCTGCGTTGACCTAAAGCTGCAGGGCTTGGCCTCCCCCAGTGACCTGGTCCCCGGGGCCTCTGGACAGCTCCTGGGACTCACTGAGCATATTTTGTGATACCCTGTGTCTCGCACCCTGGGCCTGCTAACATCCCTGGCCATGAATGAGGCGGACTTAATCCCTTGTATTCAAGATTTCAGAGAAGCCAAGACAAGGGTTTCTGCCTCAGGGGGCAGAGGCTGTAGGCTCCTGGTTTAGCGCTGCCCTTGCTTGGGAGTGGGTGGAGGAGGTGGGGCAGTGGAAGAATTTAGGAGGTGTTTGTTTGTTTATAAAAGTAATTAATGATCTGTATTTATGCATTTGCTCTTTGAGGGTTAACATTGGGAAGGAGAGGGACGTAACCCCACTCAGGTTCACTTTTATGTTAAAAAGCCTGGCAGGAACTATTATTAAGGGCCTCTCTTGGTCATGGTTTTTCATCTCTAGCCTCCATACCTACTTCCCAAGGTTATTTCAAGGATTTTCCTCCCCCAGTTTGCAGAACCTCAGAAGCCCAGATCTCCTGCTGTCATGTGGCAGACTTTTTTTTATGGTTGCCCTTCTGAACCTCTGCTCTTTACTATGGTACATTTCCTCTCTCTTGAGGGCTGTGGTTAAACGTTGCCTTTTTTCCTACTACATTTATTACTCAGATTTTTTTTTTTTAATTAGATGGACTGGTTGTCTAATTGGGAAATTGAGGGAATGACCTGGAGTGTTGGAACTCTGCAGGGGGATGGGGTCAGGAGGGAAGGCAACTGGGGAGGAAGCTTGGTAGGTTATCAGGGAAGGGGAGGTTGTGAAGTAGGCCCCGGAGGCCTGGTTCTTGTGGAATCCAGGAGCAGGCATTGGGCTACAGGGTGGGCTAAAGGGGGTGGGTCATATCTCCACGCCCACCCCCTTTCCCATGTCTTATCTTTCTGCCTTTTAATTTTTTAAAGATTTATTTATTTATTTTAGACAGAGGGAGTGTAGGAGGGAGGGAGAGAGAGAATCTCAAATAGACTCCCCACTGAGCTGGGGGTGGGGTGCATGGGGCTCTATCCCACAATCATGAGATCAGGACCTCAGCTGAAACCAGTCAGATGCTGAACAAACTGTTACCCAGGTGCCCCTTTTGCTTTTAATTGCAGCCATTCCGACCACCTACATTCTTCCTTTTCTCCAACTTCTCTCCCCAGGACCTTTGCACATGCTATTCCTTTTGCGCAAGGAAGTTTTCCCCACATGTCCAGATGGCTCACTGCCTTGCTCACTTCAGGTCTCTCTCTGCCCAGTTGTCAGCTTACAGGTAGCCTTTCCTGATTATCTCATGTAAAATAGCAACCAACCTCTCTCTGGTCCTCTTAAATAACTCCGTTTTCCCTCTTAGCACTTATTACCCCCTCGCATTATATATTCATTTGTTTATTTGATTATGTCTCTTTCCCCCATTAGGACAGAAGTTCCATGAGGGCAGGGACCTTGTCTTGTGTATAGGTCCACCTAGACTGATTCCCAGCAGACTAGGTGCTCAGTAAATAATTGCTGATGGACTGAATAAGAGATGACTGTTATAGGAAATATACCAGGGAAATATTGCAGCATCAGTGGCAAGGGGACCCAGGTAACAGGCTTTTGTTTTTTTCTTTGCCCTTCCCACCATACCCAGCTCTTCCTTTTGCAGACCACCTGTGCTGGAGCTGACTCAGAACTTTCAGCCTGAAGGAAGAGAGAGGCAATTCCTTGGGAGAGTGGAAAATCAGTACGACTTATTGATAATGCATAACCATTTCAGATCTGGTGTTTGTTTTATCATCCTCCTTGGGCAAAGTCTTTTCAAAGCATGTGTTGCTTTAGCCAAAGAAATACTCCTCTAGGAGGAAGGGTGTTACTGTGCATGGAGTGAAGTCAGAGATAGCCACTGTATCCCGCTCTGCCCTCCCAGAAAATGGAGGTGGAGGCAGAGGGAGAGAAGGGGTAAAGGGAGGAAGGACAGGGAGGCAGAAAGAAACTTAGTGGCAGATGCAGGGGAGAAGACAAACAAGAAATATCTAGGACTAGAAAAACAAGAGAGGTAACAGATGAGGGGCTTCTATAGTGCTTCTAAATCCTAAGCATCTATGAAATTACAGTATGGATATAGGATGATACTTAAGTGTTTTAAAGTAATTTACCCCCTTTAGGTGTTCGGTGTGAATGGGTGGGGAGAGGTGGAGGAAGGGAGTGCTTTGAAGTCCTTGCAGAGAGGATGTGGCTGGGGCCATGCCAAGGGGCTCTACTGAGTGCACACTTTGCTTACCTTATCATCTTTCTTAACACTGAAGGTTCAGTTTAGAGCTAATCATCCCTATGGAGGACATTTCCTGTCCTGATCTAAGACAGCTCTTACCCTGAAGGTTTGTAACTGAAGCCTGCCACCGCTTTAATGCCTGAAACCATCTAAGTGGGTAGTTTGGTTTTTCCAACTTTCATTCTGTTGAATTGGGAAGAGGTGGGGAATTACTAAATGCTCTCTGCATCACAAAGCCTCAAGTGTTTGCAGCTAATTAAACAACTCCAGTTCGGCTTCCTTCTTGTCTACTAGTCCAGGGTTTTTGAAGTTTAGGCTTGCGAGCCCGGTATAGATCTGAGTATCAGTTGATCAGGTCCAAACCAGCAGTTTAAAACATGAAGTGAAAGAAAGTACAATGGACAACTGGGGCGTTTTACACTAAATTTTTTGTTTTTTTAAACAGACACTAAGTCTTAATGTCAAGTGTATTGTTTAATGTAGTATAAAAAAAAAAGTCTGTTTTAATAATTCTGGAGGCCCTAGGAATCTACATTTTCAACCAGTTTGCCAGGGATTCTGATGACTGTCGTTCACAAGGCCATACATTAAGAAATACTTAGCTGCTCCCACCCCCTTACAAAATGCTTTTGGTTTAATCTCCTCCCAGAGCTGCAGTTTGCAAATGTTCAAGCAGAAGCAGTAAAGGTGTCAGCCGTGGACTTAACTGATAAAATGCTGCTGCTGATAGGACGTGATGGTCGTGATTCCGCCCCATTGTCACAACTGGAAATCCAGCTGGTGTGTTTGTCACTTAGTGATACAGAGAGGCAGCGGATTCATTCGAAATTACTCTTTCCTCTTACCAAGAATAAAATGACTGAATGTCCTCTTTTCTGCCCAAGTTTTAGTTTTGAGCTTTGGAGGTCTTTGAGCTTTTCAGGTCTTGGGAACTTGCCTCTGCTCAACTTTTCATTGTTGACACCCAGTATTCCCCATGTGCGTATTTTAATTACTTTCAGACCTTTGCAAAGACGGTAGTCACGTTTCCTAGTGGCCGCCACACTGCCATGATACATAATTAGATAAAACATTTTAGGTGACTTGGGCTTGGGACCAGCCAACCAAAGAAGAGAAAGGACAAGAACTTGAGCTCTGGCTGAAACAAGGCTGTTGAAGACCACCCATCTGGGGGACAGAGTGTGGCTCCCATGAGGCCTAGCACAAGGCGATCAGGTGCAGGAAAAGCCATCTCTGAGTGCCTCCTACACACACACATTGCAGTTTGCTATCCCACCCCCCCCCCCCCCCCACCCCCGCCCAGTGATTTAGGTTGTCTGAGTGTTAACAGTTAGAACTTATTTATAAGAGCCTGCGCTGAAGCCCGAATAGGATCCAGGAATAAGTTAGCTGTGTTTTCCACACCTCCCCAGGATAAGTGCAGGTACAGTTTGAGCCGAATTCTGTCACAGGCCTAAGGTGGAGTAACCGTGAAGTATCCCGTAGGAATCCATGTGGGAGAAGGAATGCTGGCTCACCAAACGGAATTAACCTCAGCAACAACCTGGCGTGGCGCTGAGTGGAGAGATTAGTCACATGTATAAATAGAAGGAGATGACGATTCTCAAGTCAGTGTTCTAGGGCCCCCA